AGGAACAGGGAGTACATACTGTGCTCGATAAAAGGTTTGAAGTAGCTGTATTTATGGTTCTGTGAGGCTGTAACAGTGGGGGCCCTGGGGAAAGACACACATATACACACACATACATACACACCTACAAATACACATACACACACATTCATACACACACATCTTATCTGACCATGCTGGAAGCAAGGCGATTCCCTATGGACAAGTATGTTGTATTGTTTATTACCTATGTATAGAAATGATTTATCACAGGCTGCACACACAACACACACAACTACCTGATGTTATGTGTGAGTGTGGAGCCAATAAATTTACACCCCTGCTGAAAACTGTTTTGGCTTCAATTATACGAGCAGAAATGAGTGTGTGTGTGTGTGTGTGTGTGTGTGTTTATTTGTGTGTAGGTGTAATTTTCTAGGACTCATTTTTTGGTTGTTATAATTTTCTGTGTGTTTGTATGTGTTGGGCTTGTTGCAATATAACTTGTGTATATCTGTGTGTAGGTGTACTTCTCTGTGTGCACAGATGTGAGTTGTAGATGTGTGAGTGTAACTTCATGTTTGTGTGTAGGAGTAATTTATTCTCATGGCTTTCCTTTATATTTATTGGCCATCTGTTGAGCACCTAAATGGGATGCAGACACTGTCGACACTGTCGACACTGTTACCAAATGGAAAAGTTATCACTCTCCAAACTTGTTACCTGTGAGAAAGTATATCCTAAGAAGAAGTACAGCTTTTTTTTTTCCTGAATAAATAAAGGAAGGAAGTAGACAAAGAAAGAAGGAAGGAGGACCAGAGTTCCTGAGAATGTTCCTGTGCCTTCGTACATGTGTGTTTGCCTGTATGTGTGTAAGTCATTACAGTAATCATAGTGTGTATGTGTTAGTATGTTCAGTCTTATCTCTCTAACATTTCCCTGGCCTGCCATTGTAGCTGGCAGTGCCATGAGCGCTGCCTAATTAGCTTAGGATTTGCTAAAACACACTCACACACAGAGACACACGCACGTACAGCTTAGTGTAATGACTTTAAGTCCATCATGAATGCAGTTACAGACAGTATAATAGGAAGACAGAATAAAAACCATTTGTTTAATTGACTTAGATTGGCTGCATGTGTGTGGGCTCATGGGGAGATGCGTAGAGGAGGAGAGGAAGAGGAAAGAAGGCAGGGAAGTGATGGTGAGGAAGGAACTGAAAGAGACAATCAAGGAGAAACGACGGGGTTGTGGAAATAAGACAAGGGGACATTGAAACATAATTAGGAGTTAGAAAAGAAGAGGAGGTTGAGGGTACGGAGAGATAGACAAGGAAACTAGGATGGGTTAGCATGAGGAAATCAAGAAGAGATTGGAGGAGGAGTGACTGAAATTTGAATAATTTTGAATCCAATTTTGAATGTTCATTTAATTCTGCAAAGTGTCTTGAGCAGCAATATGTTGCAGGAGATATGCACATGTGTACTGTATGTATGTGTGTTGTTAGTATGTTATAATGTGTGTGTGTGTGGTTGGGGGTGGGGTTGGCTTAATGAACAGCTCTTGGCTCCAGCTGCGACAGCCACTATCTCTCTCGTCTCCTTTATCCTCCCTCGCGCTTTCTCTGCTCTCTCCTCTGTCGCTCCAACATTTACAGTAATTACTGTTCTTTGGTGGTTCAGAGGGATGGAAACAGGGATAGAAGCTGATAACGTACCAAAGTGTGAGTGTTTGTGTATTTTGTCTAATTTCCTGAATGTCCTCCAGAGGGATGTTCCCAGAAAGTGAGATTCCTCAGCCAGGTTTATCTCACAAATTCCCCTTTCACATCGACACTATGACCTGGGAGGGATCTTTGTCCCGCTACTGGTGTGAAACCGTCTGCACATGTATTCCAACCTGGGATCATGAACCTTCTCCTGATCCTTAACAAGGTTCTGAAACTGCTCGGCTCTGTGAAGAAAGGTTAACCATGGCTCTTGTAGCAAAAGTAGGATTATTATAGATCTACTATGGCAGTATTAGATACCGACAGTGACTTCTGCCTTCATGAATTACACAGCCCATTAAGTCACAGTTTTTTTTTTATCTGAAGCGTCCACCATGTTGAATCTCCACTGTAGAATTAAAAATGTGTTTTGGTTTATAGTTCAGCGGACGATGTTATCGTACAGGTGTTGACATTTTTGCTTGCGCTGCCATTCACCTGCCATATTAGCCCTCGAGTTTATCATTACTCAGCCCTGTGGGTTGTCAGCTCCCGCCCTCATGATCCTTTTATCAGTCCTCTTACACAGGACAAATAAAGCCTGGGTGTTTTAATAAAGGCTCAGGCTATCAGTGAATGAAGAACTATATTACGTGCCCCATTGTAAATATTATTATAGGTTAATTATTCCATTCACATTTGACACCTTGAATCTGAATGAGGTGGAAATCCAAAGGCCAAAAACAGTCCATATGACATAGATCTAGCCTATCGCTGCCATATTTCTGTCCTGTTGCCCATTGCTAACGAACATAATATTAACATACAATGACACAAACAGGGAGAAAGATTGAAACAATAACTTGGACAATCTATTACACCAGCTCTGTAATAGAGCCCACCTTTTGGACTTTTGACTGTTATGTCATCTGTTCATATTATTGTGTCCAGCCCCTGTATGTGGAATAAATAATTATGGATATATTGTTTTCTTTTTTTTAAATGAAGCTTTGATTATGCGGTATATG